CGGGGAGCAAAAACAGCCTTTGCATACAGCTATTCTGAATAAACAGACAAACAAGAGAAGCACTCCAGAAATGAGCAGGGCTTATTTCTAAGAGGAATTTTAGTTTGAAGGATAGTTTCTTAAGACCTACATGGCTTATAACACTCATTTTGTCCCCAGGCCCCCACCACAAAAATGAAAAATGAAGACTCTGGTTTTCTTACTTCATTCACTTGGGAGGAGATGTTGTTGAAGAAGTGGAAAAAAGCGTCTGGGAAGCTACCTATAGCTCAAGATCATTTGCAGAGATTAGTTTCCCTGTTTTGTAATCCACTTATCTTGGAGTAAGCCAACTGATTTTTAGAAGAAATTAAGGAGAGAAAAGTTGTATGTTACTTATGTATCATATATGCAACTGGCTTAAGGAAAAGAGAGAGGCAGAAAAGAGAGTTAGTATTGAAAAATGACCTTGGATAATAAACGTAGGAACAAAAGTGGGGATAAATATAGCAGTTTTAAAAATAAAAAAATAGTCTGAGGATTTTTGCAGGAAGAGAATGAAAAAGAAAAAAAGGTTAGTCCCCATTGCTGAAATAAATTCATCCGTAAATAAGAAAATATGATCAAGGCAACTTTTAGAAAGACAAATGACAAAGCAGTTGGAAAGAAGGTTCTGAGCCCAACATATATTTAAATATATATTTAAAACCAAATTAAAAACTAAAGAAGCAAAAAAATAGTTTCACTTCCTTTGAAAGAAATAAAAAAAGTGTGAACAAACAAATGAAAGGAGGAAAGAAAAAATCTAATTGAGGCAGAGATTGTGAATGCTCAGTTATCATGGATGAGAAATTAAGTGTAAAAAAGGTACATAAAATGGAAAAAAATCTGAGTCTATGGGCTAAGTACCAAAATCTTCATGGTACGTTATTTAAACATGCAGATAACACACACAAACAGATAAAATAGAAAGGAGAAATGAAATGCATAAAAATAGTTTCTAAATATTCCTTTGTTGTACAACATTTATAAACATTAACATTTTGGGGTATTTCTGACTTCAGTTCTTTAATACGTGGGACATAGGAAAATGTGTTATGAGAATTGCACGGTTTCAGCGAGGCACACCATTATGTCCATGGATAATGCCTCAGTGGTACAAATGCCTACTTTGCTGACTGGAATCTGGACAAAATGGAAGTTGACAGCACAATTCAACTTGGAGGGGAAATGTAGCTGCTCCATTTTCCATGTCCCTAGCAGGAGCTCTTCTACCAGTCCTTTATCTTCCACGTGTTTTTGCTTCCCTTTAACTGTTGCTATCTTTGCTTACCCACAACCCGAAACAAGCACTCCTCGATTGCCCAGAGAACAGAAATCAAAGTGCCCACTAAGCATCCAGGGTTTACACTTCCCTCCTACGATGCCAGGCAGAGACTTCTACCCGTGGTCAGTTTATTCACGTTACCCAGTTCTTGGGCTTCGTTGGCAGAGAAGTTGATGTTTAGATCTTTGCTACCATGGCAACTAGAGAACTTCTTCTCTGAGCATCATGGGACTTGTAAGGCAAAGTTGAATGGAAGGAAAAGGTAAGATGGCAGATGTTAAGGAGGCGTTTTCATAACTCTGTCATCTCCAGTTTCCTTCCCGCTCCTCACTGCAGTCATTCAATAAATCCTGGCCTATGAAACAGCTCCTTTTTCTTGATTTAATCAAAAAGAAAACAAAATTAAACCCACTTTTTAAGAGCATTTTATAAATATTATAATTCTCCTTGGTAAATATCTATCCTATCAAGCAAGCCCCAAAAAGTATGTAAAGATATGCATGCCTACTTTAGTGTAGGCTCCACCGAGTACAATGAAATTTGGTCTGGGTAAATTGATGGAGGGTATAAATTTATATATGATAGAAAGAACTGTAAAATGCATGTTAGGGGAACAAGTTTATTGGGACAATCTAAGATCACAAAATTGAGTTTTTCGCGCCGTCAGGCTTCTCTCTCCTACCCGCTCTTCGGGCTGCCTCCGCGACTCCTGGGGCTGTGTCGGCCTTCCCCTCCCGTCCCTTCCCGCTGCCTCGCCTCGCCTCGCCCCACCCAGAGAGAGAGCGCACAGGGAAAGAAGCCGGGCCGGGCGGGCTGTCCTCCCGCCGCTCCTACGGACGCCGAACGCGGTGTGGCCGGGGAGCGTCGGGGGACGTTCATTTGGCAAGGTGATAAAAATTGGAAGAAGAAAGGAGTTTTGATCGATTTTTAGCAACCTCATCATTATCTGCTCGTAATCTGGTCCTTCAGACTCTTCAACGATGCACTCTTCATTCCAGTAACCGAGTCCATCCATTTTGCTGCGGGTCACCCTGTTCTTTCCCCTTCCACATTTCCTTGCGCTAGAACCTTCTCCAGAGGGCTTGGTCTTTGCATAATGTGTCCGAAGTGGGATAATTTGAGTCTGGTCATTGGTGCCTTGAGTGAAAACTCTGAGCTGATTTATTTGATGATTGACTGATTTGTTCTCTTGCCTGACCATGGTTTTCTCAGGAGTTTTCTCCAATCCCAAAAGTAACTTTCTCTTAGGAAGATACCAGTTAGTGTTTAAGCTTTTAAACCTGCATTTAATTACAGACTTCAAACAAAAAGTCAGAGGAAACTGATATAGTGTAATTTTAAATTGCAGTAAGATTTTTCCAAACAGGGCATTTTTCCCTTTTCCATCCAGTTTTTAAGAAAAACACAACTAAGAAAACTAAAGGATTTTTATGTGAATGCTGTTGGGTGACCATTACCTGTAATATGCTGCTAGGAAAAAATGAAGACATAGTTGCTCCTTTAGCTAGTGGTCACCTTGAACCATAAGTTGAGTGGCAAATGAATAAGAATAAGAATGATGATGTCCAGAAAGAGGATATGACAATTCTTGTAGACAGCAGAAAAGCAGAGAAAGAATTGGAGAAAATAACAAAATTCAAAGACCAGTAAACAGAATTAGAATTATTGTAGCAAAAGAGAGCAAAATTAATAGGTGACTTGGATGCCATCCCAAAACAACTAGGACACCACTTAAATACCATCGGCACTGACAAAACCACCCTCAGTCAGTTGCCAAAGGCAGCTTTCCTTGGCACAGGTTCCATCCTGTGACAATACCTTTAACACTATCAAACATACCCAGGCCCTTCGGAAGGTCTTGGTAGGTGATAAAAAGCCACATCCAGTATAACATCTGGCTGACTGTGTGCTGAAGCATAGTAATAACGCATCTGCCAGGTCCTTGAGAAGGCCTGGATAGGTGGATGAAAATTCAAATCCAGTCTGGACATCTGGCTGACTGTGCAACGAGCCACAATTCTGCCAATGACATTTGAAATTATTATCTCTTCCAGCAAATAAGAAACTCCCAAAGAACTGAAGTGGGAAACCAAATGCAGCACATTTATGTCTCTAATTGCTGGATAACAATTTAAGAATCTGAATACAAATAGATTTCATTGGAAACTAGAGCTTTGAGGAAGCTGTTCTTGTTTCTAAATTTTGTATGTGCAAAATTGATGTTCCTGCTTGAGCAGGTTTTCTGTTAATTTCAATATCAAAGGAATCTTGGAGACTTGAGGATGGTGCCTGTAGGGAACGGTCCCTACTGCATGCTGAAGCAAGTCAGCTTAAAGCATTTCTTTATAGGGCTCTCCCAGAGCCCAGCTATGTTGTTCTAAGCAATGTAAGTTGCACGTTACCTGGATTCTCTTATCACTGCTTCCAATTTTTGGGTATATGATGTTAATTGTCTTCAGAAAATTTCTGCAACGCCCGCAAGGCATCCCTTGTTTTTAAGAGTTCTGCCTGAACCTCTCTCAGCTTGTTGGAAGCCCTGCGCTCTTCTTCCTGAAATGTCCTGAGAAGCGATCTCAGAGTCAGCACTTTATTAGACTGCGTGGCCAAAAGATCAGACAGGTTAATATCTGCATTTTTATTTTTACTAATTGCTCTTAAATGTTGAGATTGAATATGCTTCAAGATTTTATTTTCCACAGTAAATGTCTCCAATTTATTCCACAGAACAGCCACTTCATTTTTCAGTTCTTTAATGTCATGGTGTCTTGCTGACAATAGACGACAAGCCATGTGATGGTCAGTGATAAATGTGGTCTTCTGCTGAGGTTTCTTTTTTAAGCAATGTTTTACCTCCTACATTAAAGAAATATCAAGATGGCATATAAGATTGAGCAAAGTAAGAATCTCATAACTTTACCTAAGCTTCAGAGCCAAATCCACAAACAGATATTTACCGCATGGATTTGCTTATTTTTATTGAGTCAATCTCTGATGCAACTATTTATTGATCGACTTATTGTGAAAAATTATAGCTGAACTCTCATAATATTAGCTTTCATAACTGCTATACTCACATACTATGCTAAAAGAGTATTTAGACAACTTTACGTTGCATGGACTTCTATTCCTAGAACTCCTTAGTCATTCATGCCTAAAGCAGGATTGCAAAACTGTACAAAACTGCCTAGACAGATGGATTGATACACACACACACACACACACACACACACACACTCATACCATATCTAAATGCTGACAAAACACTGAAAGTAATGGACTCAAAATAATGTAAGAGTGACCACTCAAATTTGCCCACTCCTTTTCTTTTTCTGGACCCCATTCCCTGTCCCTTAGTGTAATTATTGAAGCCATGTGACACTGACATCTGTATGACCATGACAATGGTGAACTATTCCCGTCACTAAAAACTGGTGAATTGAACCCATCAACACAACCCCCATTACCTAGAGGGTAGAATTACTGACCAAAAGTGTTCATAGCAAAACATTAACATATTAATCAACCATATGCAGTTTAACTATGTAAATTATTTAACTAGATTTGTGTGACTTTCAAAAATATAGTATACTTTCTACAGTCTAGAAGTGTCAGGCTAGCTCACAAAAGTAGTGTTATAGCACAACTGCTTCCTTTTCAGGAAAGGTGTGTTCTGTGTGACCGGTGGCCTTCTTACCTTTTGCATGGAGATGGTTTCCCTTTTTCTTCTCTGGTAAGTTCTGTTCTGTAGTTTCTGGCTGCTGGAGCAACGGGTTGGTGAAGCTGCCACCCTCTTCGCTTGTGGGGGTTTCAGAGGAATCTGAGGGAAAATCGTGGTAATAGAAGTTTAGAGAAGTTCCACAGTTGTTCTCTTCTGAACAAATGCTGTTGCTGCTGCCATGACAGCTGTTCTTGAAGCATTATCACTAAAGTCATTGGAACAGTGAAGTTGAGCACTTCCAGACTGGCTGGAACTTTTGCTACAGTTACTGCCTTTAGTGATTTTGGTCCTCTTACTAAGCCTACCTGGAGAATCGTTTGAGCTTCCACTTTTTCTACATTATCCACATGTCTTCTCCTCTTTGACGGTATGATGAAGGGATGTATCATCAGAAGCCATCGTTCCACCAATGGCAGGGAAGACTGTGAATTATATTTTATATTTCCCAAACAAAATGGCACTGAAGTCAGACAAGAAAACAATGTATGATGTCAAGATTTTTTTAAGGCTTCATCTAACACGTTTAAAAGTTATTTGCTTTGATTCTGTACCAAAAAAGATCAGCACAATTTTGGTCCCTTGCATTATATTATTCACTTCTTAAAGAATTGATGTGTTTATTATGCCTCCAAAGCTCTGAGTTCTTTCACGGAGCAAAAAATACTAAAATAATAGTATTACGTTTCACAGAATGCCTGGACTGACATTCAAATAACAGAAAAAAGGGAGCTTAGAGGTCTTCTATCCCAATCCCTTGCTCAAGCTTTTACCCAGCTACTTTTGGAAAATATAATAGAGAGAAAAGGTGTTCCTGATATATCAAGGTCGAAAAAGTAGCAAGTTATTCCTTGCTCATTCAGAAACTCCCCAACATTCAAGATTATCCTTTTTTCTACACATTTTAAAAACATGTACATGCAGATAACACACACAAACAGACGAAGTAGAAAGGAGAAATGAAATGCATAAAAATTAGTTTCTAAATGTTCCTTTGTTGTACAATATTTATAAACATTAACATTTCGGGCTATTTCTGATTTCAGTTCTTTAGTCATTTAATTAAATACGAGTGACATAGGAAATGTATTATGAGAATCGCACGGTTTCAGCGAGTAACACAATAATGTCCACGGATAATGCTTCAGTGGTACAAATGCCTACTTTGCTGACTGGAAGCTGGACATAACAGAAGTTGACAGCACAATTCAACTTGGAGGGGGAAAGTAGCTGCTCCATTTTCCGTGTCCCTAGGAGGAGCTCTTCTACCAGGCCTTTATCTTCCATGTGTTTTTGCCTCCCCTTAACTGTTGCTATCTTTGCTTACCCACAACCCGAAACAAGCACTCCTCGTGCGCAACCACAAAAACACTCTAGTGGTAGATTATCTAAGCCCATACTTGGGGTGCCTCAGCTTCTGGCTGACTCAAGTTTCAGGTGAGGACAGGTAGACACATGCTTAAAGAAGATTGACTGGAATGTCCTCCTATCAGGAGAATCATAACTTTTATTTTTATTTCACCCAATTATTTCCAATTCTCAGAGATCTCCTGGAGAATCCCTGTAGATTTCTTGGCAAGGACTTTCAGAAATGTTTTGCCATTGCCTCCTTTGGACTGAGAGAAATGACTGACCCAGCTACCTTCTTGCCGAAAGCAGAACTAGAATCTACTGGTTTCCTTATGGATACCTTAACTGGTACACCAAACTGACTCTCAATTAGTTAATTGGGTGCCATCAAATGGGTTTGACTTGTGCTGACAAAATAACAGTATGGGCAAAGATTGCTCTCCTGGCCTTAATGACTAATGTTTCTCCAAGAATTTCTGTAAAGTCTGTGATTTAATCCTCTATATTCTTTTTCTTCTACCACTTCAACTGTGTCATGGAATGAAAGAGCAGTCATCCTTTCTTTGGTCTCAGAGAGATTGATTACTTGTACCATCGACTCTGAAAAGTATGAATCTTCTGTAGAATTTGAAGTATCTATTTTTTACTTAGAAAGTATATATTTTTTATTTAGAAACCAAGGAGAATATGGAACTGGATTGAAAATCATATTGTCCTTTTCTTTTTTTAAGGCAATGTAGAACATATCTTTTAGGGTTTTACATGCTGGAGAATTTTCTTCGGAACTGAAGAGTAAGGACGATAGATCCTTGAATGCCCTGATTTAAGAAAAAACTGCCAAGACCAGTTTTTGTCTTACCAATCCTCCTCTTGGGCACCCCATTATCCCCTCACAACGCGTCAATCTATAGTGAAAAATAGGTGAAGTCTCTTGCAACAGATACTCTCACAAACCATTCGTCTCCTGGTTCATCTGTTCTAGAAAACAGAGATGTCACCTTACCGGATTCCTCAATGCCTTCAACAGTAGCAGAGCTTTTATTGTACTGTCTACACTAGAAAAGTTGTTAAAAATTCAGGCTGATATTCAGAGATGTCTCAGCCTTGAAAATAGGCATGTTGAACTGTACAGCATGGTCAAAGATCGGCAGTTGACCAAAGGAAATGTTCTGTGACATGTTGCATTATGTTCTAAAATATCTTAAGATAATTTTATATTATAAAATACTTTATAAAATTTGCACAATTTCAATTCCACAGAAGACATGGATTCTGGATTTTGGACCGTAAGTAAACCCATTTCAGGTATCTTGGTACAAAAATGATTGTCCTATAATGCACTGTTTTCCCAATTAAAACTTTCACAGAGACAAACTGGAGAGCTTTAATAGTATATCAGTCTGACTACCTTCATAAACAGAGTCCCCAAGACCTTGTTTAAAAGAAAACACATAGATATAAAGGAAGAAAAACAGCAACGAATCCTAGCACAATACGGAGAAGCATGTATGGATCTAAGACAAGCCAGAAAAGAGAAAGAGTACTGCAGGAATCTTTTATTTATTTATTTAGTACATTTATAAAGCTGTCCATCTCATGCATGTGACTGGGCAAAACACAATATTCAGACAAAACCATTATAATGAATTAAAACTGTTATGTATTGATATCAGGAGTTAATGTGTTTTTGTTTAAATGTACCTCCAACTGTTTTGGAGGGAAAAGTTAATTTCAGGTTTGAGTGGGAAAACACCGTTTGAATTGATTGGTCGCCGCCTAGAGGCAGCAAATATAAATAGCCGTCATTCTGTTTTCTGTTGCAATAAATCTTGTTGTATTAACCGGATCTGGTTAATGCCTCCAAAAACCCACTACGCAGTAAAAACAATTTAAAAACCTTAAATATAATCAAAGCCTTTGGAGAGTTAATTCAAAATCCTACATATAACAGAGCCATTTGCAGTTCCCTATTTCTGTAGGATCACCAAGCCTGCTGACAAAACCATATTTTAAGGGATTTTCAACAGTTAATAGACTCAGAACTGCCATCTTCCCACCTCCTGAAAAAGATGACAGCTACACCAAAACCTTCCCTGAACTTCCTCACTGAGCATGCAAGTGGATGAGAAATAGTTTTGTTTGGAGAATTGCTTTGACTTTTTTTATGGCTGGCTTTGTCTTGGCATGTTGGCTGAAGTAGCCATTATATCTTCAGCAAACCATACACAGAAACAAACTGGGTGATTTGGGGCTAATCACCCTCTGTCTACTCTAGGAAGAAGGCATGTGGTAGTGGAAAGGCTGTTCCTGGGGGGGATGAGTGAAAAACACCCAGAGTCTCTACTTCCAGCAAGGTCACATCATCTCAGCTGCTCAGAGAAAGCAAGCCAGAAACTACAGGTATTTGTTACACAAGTGTGCTCTCACGCTCAGGTTATCGTCACTTACTCACACCCTCATATCCCTGGAAAATTGGCACACTCAAACCAGTTTCAACTGAACTCTGAGGCACAAATGGCTCTTTAAAATACACAGAGACCCAGTGAATAAAAAATAACAGCAGACTTTGACTGATTATGAAGTAGATCTATTTAGTTTTACACACATGCACACAAAAACACACTCATCCGTACTTACCCCACATCCACAACTAGGTTGCTTGGCATTAGCCAGAGGGACAGAAGCTGCCAAGTCCTGATCCAAAAATGACCCCAAAGTCTGGGCAGGCCTCAGGATCTCTTTTGATCCCTCAGTGTTGATGGGAGAGGCTTCCCATGCAGGCCCAACTCCTTGGTTGCCAAATGTGGTGAGGGGCTTGCTATGTGCTCAGGCCAAACTTTTGTTCTTTCCTTCATGCCTTGGTTCTTTTTCCTGGCTTTTCTCTACCCTGCTTACATGCGTTCACCACTGTTAGTTCTGGTGGCTTCGGCCTAGGTTGACATATTGCTCACTTAACAAACAGTTGTTTTGCATTCAGAGATCAGATGCTCCTCCCAAATTACTTACAGCCCAATTCCAGAGTTCTGATGCTGTTTCCCCCCCACACTGTCACATAACTCTCTTTAAGGCCAATTACAGTGTATTTTCCAAGAAACCAGACTTTGGGGCAGGTTTCTGCCAACAAAATGGCCGTAAGAATGCATTGGCTTGCTTAACAAATACAGTGTTTAATGATCGCATCATTTGCTTTATAACTGGGCCTTCACTTCAGAAACACTGCAAAAATGTGGTAAAATCAGGTTGATAACATGGGTCCCTTGATTTATGACCATCGTAACCTATGATGGAAATTCTGAGCTCCATTGAATCATAATTTGAGGACTGTGTATATTGGATAGCAGCAGCCTCATAGGACAATGTTAGATAATCCCTTCAATGGCAATGGCATGGGGATTCTTTTATACCACCTGGGACAAGGCAATGGTAAACCACTTCTGTATTTCATTCAAAATGCAGAGCTAGACAAAAGGGTGAAAAATGGTTATATGCACTCTTTTTATTAATTCAACCTATATGTAGCATACAGGGCAGGCGGGATTGAGAAAAAAATAATTGTGGCTTTAAATTTGGAAGAAGAAACAGCAATAATGTGATCTTGAACTATATGTACTTGTAGTGGGGTGGGCAGCTATAGTATATAAATTTAAGAAATAAATATATAAATTTGCCTGATATTAACACTTTTTGCTTCAAAATACACAATTTAACTCATTTGTATAATGGCAGCATGGCATGAAGTAATAGTTTTATTTCCACAGCCAGACTTTGGGGTATACCAAATTAAAAGGCTCTAGAAGTCATCAAAATATAAGGCGGTTTATCCTGTAACAAAGGACTTTTGAATTTAGTGGGATTTGTTAGTAATTATCCATAAAACTCTTCTCCCCTTATCTCTCATATCTAGAGAACATGATGAGAATCAGCACTGATAACTATTAAATAATGAGCTCACAAAATTAGTATTGCCATTTTAAAAAAGCAAATAGAGCAGTGATTTGAAATATTTTTTGACGAATAACATAATTATCATATTTCTTATTTAACAATAAAGTATGAAACAAACTTTCTGCTACATTTTGGAGAAGAACATGAATCACCTTTCTCTGGCTGACCTTTACTCATCCGATGTGCATAAATATTTGTTATGCTCAGTTCTCATTCTTTTTCCTAAAAATGCATTATTAAATTTATGTTGATAATATAGTTTATTGTATTGATGTCAGTTCTGCAGAGATCATACATTTCACTGTGTAACTCCCCCCAGTATCTCATTTTATTTATCTGTATTTTAAATTATTTGCTTATGTATAATTTGGCCAAATAATTCCTTTTCTTAAGATTCTCAAGGATAAATATCGCTTTTTCCTGGAATTCTGAAGTTTTTGACCATGTTTTTTATTTTCACAATTCATAAACCTTTCATTAAATTTGATCTTAAAGATCCTTCCAAAATATTTTGATACAAAATTGTTATGATATTAACAAAGTCTATAGTATTAAATATATCAATACAGGCCTTGTTTAACATCTTTAAAAAGCATATTATTTTCATGTTGGGACACACTTTTCAAGTAGTATCTTTTCCTACAAATGGTAATGTTCAAATGTCCTAACATAAATTAATACATTTCTGCAATCTATACTTTAGATAGCTACAGGCTGAAAGAAAGTCCCAGAGAACAAAATAGGCTTACTTCAAATGAGCATTTAGTTAATAGCACCTCGGATGCCTTCTGCAGTAAGAGAGTTTTAATGTAAACTTTTTAAATACTTTAAGTTTTAGCTTCGGCAACTTGACTTCCATTTATAAATTTGCGGTGATTGACTGAGCTTCAATTGTCTTTTTCTTTGCAAGTGCTAATTGATGACTAAAGGAAATAGTATCAACGAAAGCTGCTTTTCTAGATCATAAACATCTTATAAATAAACCATCAAAAAGATTATTGAACATTTACAATCGTACAAATATTGCATTAGAAATCTGAAGAAGGCAACTGAAAGTTTAGCAAAATGTTTACAAAAAGATAAAAATTCTCCATCTCGGTTATAATGCTCACATTTTTGAAATGGGAATCGGCCCACCGTGTGAAAAAAAGTATATAGAAAATAATCTGCACTACATTTTTGTAATATATAGAGAGATTTTGATTTTATTGATTGATAAGAAAACTTTTCCCTAAAAACTGCCTGATTACATAGTTGTGCCGCTTCTCTTTGTCTTTCAGGACTGATACAAGGTTTGTAAAAAGCTGGCATTATACAAAAGATCCTGCTGTATCTGTTTTCCTAGAGCTGGGCTGAAGGAAGAAGGCATTGGTAAAAAGTCCTACAGCTACCAGCTGCACAAGCTAGATTGCATCAGGAAATTGAACTTAGAGGTTTGAAATTATTATCTATTCCAGTAAATAACAAACTCCCAAAGAACTGAAGTGGGAAACAAAATGCAGCACATCTATGTCTCTAATTACTGGATAATTACTGAACATAAATGGATTTCCTTGTAAAATTGAACTTTAAAGAAGTGGTTATTGTTTCTTAATTTTCTACATGCAAAATTGATGTTCCTGCTTGAGGATGTTTTCTGTTAATTGCAATATCAAACGAATCTTGCTGACTCGAGGATGGTGTCTATAGAAAATGATCCCTGCTGAAGCAAGTCAGCTTTCAAATCATATTTTCCTTTTTTCATTTTGTAAGGCAATGTAGAATTTTCCTTGAATGCCCTAACTGAATTAAGAAAAAACTGTCAAGACCATTACCGATCTTTCAAGAAACAGATTCCCTTCTTGCTCCTCCTGCTCTTGGATGCCTCTTTCTCCCACCACACCCACTCCACCAACCTGCAATGACTGATGCTTTGCTAGTACTTGGCCTTTTAAGGGTTGCCAACCCGTCAATCTAAAGTGACAAGCAGGTGAAGTCCCTCGCAACAAATATTCTCACAAACCAATCATCTCTTGGTTCTTCAGTTCTGGAAATACCCGAGAGCCAATTAACTGAGGTGGGGGAAAGGAGGAGGGACCAGCTGAACTTGGAGAAGTGAAGATGCCCTGGGGATTCTCTCTGCTTGCCAAGCTGCTACAGGGCCACTAAACCCCTGCTTTTTTGTGCGCAGAAGTCTTTGGAAGCTACTTGAGTGATTGCTCTTTAAGAAAGGAAAGTGATGCTGCTCCGTGTTCAGAGACTTTTACTAAAGATGTGTCCCCAAATCACTCTCTCTCTAGCCCCTCCACACCCACTTTGAAATTCTCCAAGCAGTCCTATCTTAATATCCCGGCTACACAATTACTCCCAGTGGCACGTCTTAGCAAACATGTTGCATTCACACATAACTGATTTCATTGCCAAGGAAACCACTACCTTATTCACCTGCTTCCTTTTCCTCTTAGTTTTCTTTCAAGAGGATAGTTGTTACATAGAAGTTGACAACCCTTTGACTCAATAGGCAACTTCCAGGCAGCTTAGAGTAAGTTCAGCAGCCATAGAAATTTTCATAAATAAATCATAGGGAATGCAAAATCAATGCCATAGTGATTGTGATTCAGTGTGTAAATCAGCGAGGTTAAATTTTGTTGCCTATCTGTATGGCTCTGTACCACCCAGCTTATCTATTTCTTTATTTTCTAGGTGAAGGCATAAAACTCTGGGCTGAAGATGCTCCCAATTTTTATTTTCTGAACTTTCATTTCTTACACTCTATCCTTTCTCTGTTTAATATCTCCAGCTAAGAGTTGTATTTCCTCATCGAGTTCTTTTAAAAGTGTGTAAGGTTTAGCAATAGCACTTAGACCTATATATTGCTTCATCGTTTTTTACAGCCCCCTCTAGATGGTTTACAGAGTTAGCATGTTTTCCCCAACAATCTGGGTCCTCCTTTTACCGACTTCGGAAGGATGGAAGGCTGAGTCAACCTTGAGCCCCATTAGGATTGAACTCCTGGCTGTGGGCAGAGTTAGCCTGTGATACTGGATTCTAACCGCTGTCACCATGCAGTTCAAGCTTTGTTCCCATTGCCTGAATTACTTCATTTGTTTTTGCTGTACATTTATCAAAAAAAAAGCACTTGAAGATTCAGCTTCTCCTGATAATCTTATTTCATTTCTTTCAGTTCTCTTACGTGAAGCCATTGCCCCAAAACATTACTAAAAATTAAAAGTTTATAACATTAAATCTAATTGGTCTAGTAAATATAATTAGATTACAGTCTTTGGCTCCCTCGTGTGGTGAAACAGCACCACTGACTATAAGCTGCAAAGACTCCTTTATTCATTTCAAGTAGGAAAGAAAGATGCTTCAAGAAATTCTTATTTGATAAGATTTGATTGATAAGCATGTCATAAAACATCTTTTTCAAAATTCCTTTAATATATGTTTTATAAAAATGTGCAAAAAATTAACAAAAGTTTTTTATGATGCTTATTGCAATAGTAACTATAGAAACTTCTAATATCTCCTAGTCCTCATATTATGTAATAACTACTATCTATAATATATTCTAATACTAATATCCACTATGTAATATATCCAAGTTCTAATACTAATATCTACTAGCTAATATCACTTAATTCTAATATTATCTACTATCTAATATATCTTTATTCTAACACTAGTATGTAATACCTAATATTGATTAGTTCTAACACTATCTAATATCTACTACATAATATATTTTAATACTAATATCCACTATCTATCCTAGTTCTAATACTAATATCTACTAGCTAATATCACTTAGTTCTAATACTATCTAATATCTACTATCTAATGTATCCTAGTTCTAATACTATCTGCTATATACACTCTAATATGTCGTAGTTCTAATATTCTCTGATTATTATCTAATATCTATCCGCTTGACTGGAATCACAGCCATCATTTGTTATTTAATATGCGGTTTGGACCAAATAGTTTTTCCAACAGAAGCTTTTTCTTTTCTGGTGGTATCTTCGGCCTGTTTTCTTCAACAGGAGGTGAAGGGTTGTTTTTTGGTCTCTCATTTTGAAATTTGGTAAATGAGGGCTCATAATCTCCTAAAAAGTGGGTTAATTCACCATGTGAACTATGGTTTTTACCCATGAATGTCCTGTTTGAAATATGTGCTGCTGATATTTCAGGGAGATGAACTCCTGTTTGAGGCTCAA